TATAGAAGCATCCTGAGATAACTGATGATAATAGTCTCAAATATAATTTAGACTATCGAGAAATCTCTATAATTGAGTTTTATCTTTTATTTCATCTGGAAATTTAGAAGCAAACTCTATACTTTTGTCAATTGGTATAATAGTTCCATTATGAATATTATGACCAAGCAAACGTACTGTTGTTTGAAAAAGTTTAATTTTTGCTGTAGATATAATTAAACCATTTCGGATAATATGCTTAAAAATGTTAAGATGTTTAAGATGCTGGTCTATTGATGAGGAGAAACAAGAACATCATCAATATAACAGATAAAAAATTATGTATTAGGAGTAAATGATGGTGCATTTTTTAAACCAAATGGCATAACATTCCATTCATAATGCCCAAAAGGTACAGTAAAAACAGTTTTATATCTATCCTGTTCTGCAATTTGTATTTGCCAACATCTTGATTTTAAGTCAAATTTAGAAAATATGACTGTATCTTGTAATCTATCAAGAAGATATTTTTTATTCGGGATAGGATATCTCTTCTGTTTTAAGGCATCATTAAGTGGTTTATAATTAATAACTAATCTAGGCATACCTCTTTCAATTTCTGCATTTTAATTAACGTAAAATGTTGTACAACTCCAAGGAGAATGGCTAGTTCTGATTAACTTCTTATGGAGGAGATTTAGAATTTTGGTTTTACACATATCTAAATATTCTTTTTTGATTTGACTAGGGCGAGATCTGGTTGGGATGAATCGTTCATCAAAGTCTTGTTCATACGAAAGAGAAACTATGTGTTTCTTTCTTTCCCCAAAAGCATTGGAATTTCACTACAGATTTTTGTTTGAAATTCTTTTTCAATTAATTTAATTTTATTCTGTAAAGACGACTGTTGTAATCTTTGCTCAATAGTGAGAAAATTAATTTCTGTTTGAAGAAAAATAATTTGTTTTTCTTTAAATGTGACTAGATCTTTGATTTGATCTAATTTTTTGGTATAAGGTTCTATTATGAATTCAAAGATAATAGATTGATTACTGATGGTTGTGTAAATGCCTATTGAATCTATCTTGGTGATAGGCATTAGTAAACACAGAAATGGAGTCCCTAAGATAATGCTTTGAGACATGTTTCTGATAAGGACAAAAGAAGTGGGAAGCCATATGCCTTGATTACAGATGAAAGCTTCTGGTACTAATTACCACTTGCATTGGTTAACGATTGAGTGGTTTTCTGAAAATATTTAGTAGGAATTAATCCTTCTTGAATACAATTCATGTTAGCGCCACTATCAATAAAGGCGATGGAATCTTTAATAATAAAATCAGTTTTTATTATAAAAGTGATTCTGATATACCATTTCTGGAAGGTAATTTGATTTATAAGCAGTAAATACTGATTTTCTGGTTTATCTTGACTTTTCTTTTGTTCTGAAGTTTGTCCTTTATCCTTAAGTTGACTATTAATTTTTTTAATATCATTAAGAATCGATTGGTTAGCTGTTTGAAGGTGTTTTAATTCTGTTTTTAATACATTAATTTCCATTTTTAAATCTTGGATAGTTACTGGTTTTTCAATTGATTGAGAAATTTGCATGCGGTTAAGAACTTCTTGCATACTGTAATGTTCAATTGGAACTATTTCTTCTGTTTTCTGATTTTGATAACATATTTCTAGGAATTTTAATTTCATCTCGAGATCCTTAATTTGGTCTGCTAACTCTAGCATGGATTTCTAGTCATCAGTTAAGACATTGAGGCTGGGTCTTCTTAAGTCTAAACCATTCATTTCAACTATTGGTTTCCAATAATTTGCTTCGGTTAGAGCATGTAAAGCATTCACATTACTGGTCTTACAAGGACATTGTTCTGGGGTATCTGAGTCAGAACTAGACTCAGATGGGGAATAAATTTCTACTAAACCATCATCTAAACTAGATGTACTATCTTCATCAGAAAGAGTTTGTAAAATCTGTTGTTGAAGATGTTCATCCAAGGACATCTCATTAAGTTTCTGTTTTAATTTGGCCCTACATTTATTCACATAATGTCCTGTTACTTCACACTTATAACAAGTGATTTGTGATTTATCTTTCTTTGGATAAGATTTATGTTTACCTTTAGTTAATTTTCTAGGCCTTTGATAAGACTGTTGGGGATTATAGTTATTCTGTTTGGAGTATGATTTCCGAAAAGATTTTTTATATGGTTTATGTTGTCTCTGTTTTTTAGATTTAGAAGGATACTGAATTTTGGTTTCATAGGCGAATTGATCACAAAATTCACCTAATTATTTTCTACCTGTTAAATACTATTTTTTTCATAAGATACTGGAGTTTAAGGTCATTACAAAGGGAAAGACCTTCTTTAACTATGATACCTATGAGTTGACCATAAGTGTACTGGTTGTAAGGGATAGACATCCTATTATGGCGATTCCTTAGTTTTTTATGGATCTTTTCTGCAAAAAGGTTAGGAAGACCATCAATGAATTTGGCTTTCCAGTGTTCACTGTTAGCATCCTGGCATCGCATTACTTTTAACATAAACACATCTTTATACCATCGAAAATGGGTTAGAGATGGGCAACGAAGGTTCTGTAGGAGTTCTCTACTTCTATCACTATTAGCTACATCTGGTCTTACAAAATGCTAGAGGATGGTTTGGGTAAGAGTGTAAACTACATCTTCTCTATTTCTGACAGTTCATGCTATGGGATCGGTATCTACCTTAAAGGAATTAAGAATTTCGTTTTGTTGTGTAATGGTAAGAACATTATCTCACCAGCCTTTAAGGATACCAGTAAAACCATTGACAATAAAGCGAGCGATTTGGCTGTCAGAATTGTCATTTTGCTTGCAAACAGTGGCATACATCATAATCTGGTGGATGGTTTCAAATATCTGGTATTTGGTATAACCATCAATATTCCATTCGTAAATAGTCTTACCATGGTAGGCTTTCTGGGAATGAAGAAAATCTTCTTCATATAAAATACCTTGGGGTGTAGGTCGGGAGTAATAATACCTACTAGGTTCGGTTAAAGCCATGCGAGATGTTTGTTTAGGGAAATAGGTTTTATTTACATGTTGGATGTCCAGAAAATTATTTTGAATTTCAAGAATATGAGAGGGTGACAATACATCATCCTCATCCGCATCTAGAGATTACTGGTTATGCTGACTGCTTAACATATTGATCTGAGCACTGGATTGTCCTAGTTTCATGTCTTTGATTTTATTCACAAGAACATCTAGAAATTCATTGTCCTATTTAACTAACCTTAATTAGAAATTAGAAACTTCTAAGGGTGGTTTAATATTAACAGGATGTACAAGTTCTAGTGCAAGTTTCTTTTGGTCAATGTTTTGAACCTAAATTAGTTCTGTTATAGATGTTTCAATTCGGTTTAGTTGATTACCTACTGTTTGTAAATGAAGATTTGTATAATTATTCTGTTTCATTATTGGGGCAAGATCTTTGACCCAAATAATGTCTCATTTTTCACATCCATTAGGTGGTTTTACAAAAGTGGTAATGTGTAAAGGTTGACTGGAATAATTTACCCCTGGTGCTAATTCAACAGATAAAGGAGGAGGGTGTACAGATTTAATGGTTTGACCATTTGTAGCAGTCCAAGATTTCTGTAAGTTGTCCAAAACATTTAATTCTGATGATGGAAGATATTCCATTACAGTTGCATATTCATAATACCATTCAACAAAAGGTTTTATTATCTGATATTTTTTAAGATGAAAATAATACTGGTTTTTAAACTATTCAAGTTCTAGAGAACTATGGATCTTAAAATACCATGTCCTAAATTCTTGGTATTTATCTTGCATAAAATCCTAGTTTAATTGTTTTCTGAGTTCACTACCTATTGTGAAATCCATTATATTTCAAAATTCATGTCACTAGCTATTGGGCTGTAAGGCCTTCTGTTTTCATACACTCCATGGGGTATTTGATTTTCAGATACATGGATTTCCTGAATGACAGGGTCTGGTAGAGAGTCACTAGATGGTATCAAAGCCAGTTTATCATAATTGGTATTATTATTATATTTTATTTAAATTATACATATATGGTCACTATACAACCAATATGAGCACAGAGCCATCAGAATCCACTATCACAACCGTAGCCAATACAGTAGCTTCTACATCAGAAGCAGCAGAACTTGTAGCCTACCAGGACATTAGGGAAGCCTTAGATAAATAGACTATTCCCAGTGTTAAACCAGAAACAATTTACAAAATTGGAACTTTTGATTTTACCAGTAAGAAGGTAATTGACAAATTTGATGTTTCTTGAGGTACTAAACCTTTCAGACAACCAACTAGCAGGACCAATTCTTCAAGGGAGGCGGTTTTATACATTTGAAAATTGTGGTGGTAGTGTTAGCGGTAATAGTGGTAAGGTGGTGGAGGTGGAGATCGTTTGATATCGTTAGTAGGAAAGGAATTTAGTTCAAAAATATTTTTACCCAAATAAACTTTTTTTTTCATGATCAACGGAAAATTGTTCAGTTGATATTCATTTTTTGTCGTACCAAACGTTGATGAAAGACAAGCTTGTTTGAAGAGTGGATAATTACAATTTACATGGTTGCCTTACTTTGACAGCTTCACCAGAGAAAGACTTACTGTTACTTAGCAGTGTGTATAAGAAGAATACAATTACTCCTATCCTTCTCCATAATCAAATATCCAACTTATTCATTCTTATATCTTTGATTCCCATAAGGAGAAATGAGTTGGCTAATATTGCTTTATCAATTTCTGTTGTTTCTCTCTTTTTCTTAAGCTCTTACATGTTCATCATCATGGTCTTCTTCTACTTCTGCATGCCCCACGTGCCTTGAGGATCAGAGATTCGCACTACTCCAATTTTAAAAAAACATTTGTCATAAGTAGCTTTACCTTTTTACAGTGTAAATCTTATTCTCATCCTAAAATAGAGTTCTGGAATGAGAGTATTGATTATTGCTCATGGCAGGGGGTCATGTGCGGCTGGTTGAATGGTCATGTAATTGGACTTGACCTTAGTCGTAATGAGCTTCAGGGCACCATCCAAACCAATAGCAGCCTCTTCCACCTTCGTCAACTCCAGAAGCTCAATCTTGCCTCCAATGACGTCAGATTCTCTAGAATATCATCTAAGTTTGGATCATTCATGAATTTGACCCATCTCAACCTCTTAAACTCTTTATTTTTAGGTCGAATTCCTTCAGAAATCTCCCACCTGTCCAAATGGATTTCGCTCGATTTTTCTAGTATTCATGAGGGGAGACTTGAACAACACACTTTCAATATGCTCCTTCAGAACCCAATCCAGTTCAGAGAACTACACCTTGATGCATTGGATATCTTGTCACCTTTACCGCATGCTTTGTTAAATCTATCTTCTTTGACATCTCAGTCTTGCTTCTTGTCAACTGCGTGGGAAATTCCCAGAAGACATTTTCCACCTCCCAAACCTACAAAAGCTCGAGGTATGTGATAACAGGGACCTCACAGGTAAACTTCCAAACTTTAATATAACTAGTTCCTTTCAAAGTATTGATCTCTTCAGGACAAGTTTTTCTGGTCAAGTGTTTGATTCAATCGACAATCTTAAAGCCTTGAATAGTGTGTACCTCATTGAGTGCCACTTTTCAAGGTCCATTCCAGCTTCTCTTGGGAACCTTAACAAATCACCAATTTGTACTTCTTGTATAATAGTTTTAGCGGTCAAATCCCCTTGTCGATTTCAAACCTTGCAGAGCTTATTCACTTGTTTCTTTCTAATAACAATTTGAACGGATAAATACCAGATTCCATTGGCAACATGAGCCAACTTGCTTTCTTGGACGTTTCTGGAAATCAGCTAATAGGTCCCATTCCTTTGTATGCAATTGGGCTTTCCAGGTTAGCTTACCTTGATTTAAAAAATAACTCACTCAATGAGACAATACCATCTTGGTTATCTACTCCACCTTCACTGGTTTCTATAGAATTGAGAGACAATAAGTTGCAAGGACAAATTCCAGGATCTGTTTATGAACCCGCGAACCTGACACACTTGTCACTTTCATCAAATAACTCAAGTGGTATTGTGGAGCTAGATAAGCTTCTAAAGCTAAAATATCTATCCCATCTTGACCTTTCACATAATGGTCTCTTATTGAGTATCAACAACAGTGTCAACTCTACCATGCCCAAATTTCACACTATAGGATTAGCTTCTTGCAACTCAAGTGAATTTCAAACTTCTTGAGAGTACAGGCTGAATTGCTTTCTCTAGACCTTTCAAACAACAAAATTGGTGGTGAAGTTCCAAAATGGGTATTGGATGTGTGGAAAAATTCATTGAAGGATTTAGATCTTTCTAATAATTTTCTTACTGGTTTAGAGAAACTTCCATGGCAAACACTACAATTTATTGACCTGCAAATTTTCAAATACAATTTTTTATTTTTTCTATTTTGTTATCTTTAATAAAAAAATATATTTTAATCTTTTTTTTTAAGATGTACCTAAATTAGATGCACTTAAAATGTAAAATATTTATATAAAAAATAGATAAATTACAAATACACATTCTGAAATTTACTTAAAATACACATTGCCTCTTGTATTTCTAAAAATTATATCCCGCCCCCTGACGTTTTCATAACAAATGACAGTTTTTATCAATAAATCATCAAGTCAATTAATAGTTTTTAATGATGCTAGAAATATATTTTAATTAATAATTTAAGTAATTTTATTATTGTGAGAGTAGTTAAAAATTTCATTTTTCTAATTAATTCTGTTAAATAAAAAACTCTTAAAAGAGAATATTTGTAATTTTTCAAATTGCAGGAGGCAATCCATGTTTTAACTATACCTCAAAGGTGTGTTTGTAATTTACCCAAATTTTTTTTTATAAAAATGTATACTAAATTTTTAGAAAGAAGAAAAAAAAAATTCTTTTTTTCTTCCACAAATCTAAAAAGATCCAAACACAGACTTAATGAAAAAGAAACAATGACTTATAAATCTTTTTTTAATATATATATAGAGAAAGAATTACTTCTTTCCAGTCTGACTATGGATCAAAGAGAACAATCCAAGCAACATATTTTACTCTTTAAGTTCCACCTCAACATTTTTTCTATAAATCAAATATTTAAATTTTGTATACCCATTAATATTGAATCAAATCTAATATTGACTTTGTAAATAAGTGGACAAAATATAAACAATTAGATTACAAAAAAAATAAAAAATACCAACACGACAACCATTTAGTACCCAGACAAGACATCCAAAGCTCGGGACACACAAGCGGGAGTGCTCATATATATATATATATACATATATACTCCCTTCTACCTTCAAACTAGTGATCTAACTTCAAAGAGTTGCATAAGTAAGCCTAGGCTAGTAAGTGCAAACAAAGATATGAACATAGTTACACAATGGCTGTTTTTCAGCATTCAATAGTTGAATCTATTCCATCCTGAAATCACTGCCTGAACAATGTACAAACTACAAGAAGCCACTGAACCCATGAGCAGACCATTTTATCAAAATGAGCAAAAATCAACAAGCATTTTGGGTCATGCATGCTTTCTTGTCGGCAAAATGAACCAATAGCCCTTATGAGCTATATCACGAGGAATTCCTAATAAATTCTGCATTCTCCAAGAATGATCTCATCTATCCAGAGTTGCACTTCAAATTTTTATTCTATTTCTTTCAGTATGCTCTCTCCTTCTTCAATCCTTTCCACAACACCTTAAAAACCAACAAATGTAAAGAGAATAAGTATAAAGGCCTCACTGTTATTTTACAAAAGGGCCTGTATAATGTGTTAGCAGGTATTTTAATATTATAATGTGTTATAGGTTTGATTTTCTTTTCTTTCCCTCCAAGTTTTCATTTCTTTGCCTAGTCAAGTCTTCGCCAAGTCAAGTCAAGTCAAGTCTCCCAAGGAAATTGCCCACCTATTTCCTTTCTTATTCTTATCCATCAAGTCTCCAAGTCTTCCAAGGAAATTGCCCACCAATTTCCTTTCCTTTTATTATCCACCAAGAAAAACCCTCCAAGCTTTCTCTCATATATATATATTGAGCTATCTTCTTATCTTGGTGGGGTGAAGAAGTTTTGGTTGCTTTATTATGTCTTGTGTGAGATTATCAGGCAAATAAAAAAGGGTGTATGTGATAAAGCTTTGGGTTCAACCAATTGTGCAGTATTGGTGAACCATACGACTTAGTCGGGCTGTTGTATCCTGGGAGGGGACAAGTCAAGGTTTTTCTGTTGCACCGGTGCGAGACTTTACCTAACCACAGAGGGCTTGAATCTCCTTAAAGAGAGCAAATTTCCCGCGCCTTAGCCCTTATAATAGTTATTGTAACTTTTATTATTTGTATTTTCTGGTGTTTTATTTGTAATCAACACGAACAATTTTAAGGAGATTCAAATAGCAAAAAGTCATGGAGCCAGTATTGGAGAAACCCAATGAGAATATCGGCGATGTCAATAAGCCCTTCCGGTTAAAGGGAGCCCATTTCAAGAGATGGAAAGGCAAGGTGCTTTTCTACCTCAGTCTCCTCAAGGTGGCCTATATCCTAACTGAGAAAAATCTGAACAAAGTCCCCACTGAAGAGATGACCGATGAGGAGTATGCTGCTCATCTTAAAAAAATTGAGAAACACAACACAGATGAGTATAAATGTCGATATTATCTTTTGAATTGTCTTTCAGATCAATTTTATGATTATTATGATACTACTTATACCACTGCCAAGAAAATTTGGAAAGCCTTGCAGAATAAATATGACATTGAAGAGGCAGGCGCTAAAAAATATGCTGCAAACCATTTTTTTCGCTATCAGATGATAGATGGAAAATCAGTGGTGGTGCAAGTTCAAGATTTTCAGATGCTAGTGGCTGAAGTTAGATCTGAAGGCATCAAAATTGGAGACAATCTTGTTGTAGCAGGTATTGTTGACAAACTACCATGATCTTGGAGGGAGTTCTAGAAGTCAATGCGCCACAAGCAAAAAGAGATGTCCTTGGAGACTCTAATCACACGGATTCGGGTGGAGGAGGAAGCACAAGGACAAGATGCACTTATGACACAAGAGCATTCCACTGCAAAGGTAAATTTAACTTTTGGAAATACTTTACCTAAAGGTCGATTTCATAAAAATAATCACTTGAAGCCAGTTAAGAAAATTTGGAAAAATACTAGAAGGCCACAAAATAAAAATTACCCGAGGCAAAAGAAATGGAACCAAGAACCCCCTTCACAAGATCTGACAAATGTGACATGTTTTGTGTGTGGCAAAAGTGGGTATATTGCTCGAACTTGCAAATTTCGGAAACAACAGTCTCGACCACAGGCTAATGTTATCGAGGAACCATTTGTGGCTATGATAACAGATATTTTTATGGTTCAATCTGTGGAAGGGTGGTGGGCAGACTCTGGTGCCAATAGGCATGTCTGCTATGATAAAGATTGGTTTAAAGATTTCACTCCTTTTAATGAGGAAAGGACTGTTATGCTTGGTGACTCCAGTTTAACCAAGGTGCTTGGGTGTGGGGATGTTGAGCTGAATTTTACCTCTGGACGTGTGTTTGTTTTAAAAGATGTGTTGTACACACCGTCCATGAGGAAAAATTTGATGTCGAGTTATTCGCTCAACAAAGCTGGTTTCAAGCAGACTATTGAATCTGACCAATATGTAATCACTAAAAAAGGCATATTTGTGGGGAAAAGGTATGCCTGTGATGGAATGTTTAAATTAAATGTTGAGAATAAGAAAGCACATGTTTCTGTTTACATGCTGTCTTCTATGAATTTTTGGCATGCTCATCTGTGTCATATTAATAGCCGATATGTGGGAGTCATGAGTAGTTTAGGATTAATTCCCAGACTAACAAATAAGTTTGAGAAATGTGAAGTTTGTAGTCAAGCAAAAATAACTAAAAGGCCTCGTAAAAGTGTGGTAATATAGCGATCCTGGTTTTTCCTTCCTTTGTATACTGTATTCTGGACTTGGTTCCGTGGACTTGTTTTTGTATTATTATCACTTCTAGCCTTTACTCGTTGTATTTGAGTCTTGGGTTGTGATGGGCAGGTTTGAAACAGGTTGGTTGCACTTTGAAACCAAAAGGTGATGCCCAGATTTTGGCCTTCACGCTCGAGCGGAATTTTTAACGCTCGAGCGGGCCCTTCGTTGTTGCTTCTCTGCTCGAGCGGGAGTTTTGACGCTCGAGCGTGGTTTTCCATCTCCCAGTACTTTGCTCTGCAGTTCGTCCGCTCGAGCGGTAGTTTTTACGCTCGAGCGTGATCCCTTGATTTTGTCCCTCCGCTCGAGCGGAGAGTTTGACGCTCGAGCAGATACCATCGCCTGCAAAACTTCTGGAACTGTGAAATCGACGCTCGAGCGGATCTTTTCACGCTCGAGCGTGAGTCTGTGTCTGACGCTCGAGCGGGGTTTTCCGCGCTCGAGCGGGGAATCGACTACATCAGTCCGTGATTTCACTTTTTGGATCACTTTTTGACCTACTCCTTTTCCCTAACTCTTTAAAAACCGCCACTTGAGAGTTTCTCTCTCTACTCTCACCTTCTCTCTAAGCTTTGATCTATTCCTTGTGGTCTTCTACCCTAGTTCCTTTGGAAGAAAGGTAGAGCATCGCGAGAGCTTTCTTTTAATCTGAAAAAGAGAGGATTTGGGGCACTTTGGACTTTCGTCATCTTCTCCATTCGAGTTCTTCTCTTTAAGGTAGGGATTTCCTACTCCATCCTATAAGTTTTGTTCTAAGTTTTGGTATTTTGATATGTTGGGAGTACTTTGGTAATTTTGGGAAAAACCCTAGTTGTATTAATAAATTAATTTGTATAATTAATTTAAGGAAATTGGGGAAATTGGTTAAATGCATGAAATTGAGGAATTCATTGATTAAATGGTGTAGTTGGATAATTAAAATCACTCGCCTATTGAATTGTTGATATATTTATTTCCAGTCTAGAAATAACTGTTTTGGGCTATCGGTGGAGGATAGTCGTGTTTGTTGTAGTTGAATTGTTGGTATATTTTTTTTTTTTTTCGAGTCTGGAAATAACTGTTTTGGGCTATCGGTGGAGGATAGTCGTGCTTGTTGTAGACATTGCATGCGGATTGGGGAAAATTGAAACTAATCAATTTGTTTAAGTCATAAATTTAGACTATTAAATTAATACAGAAATTACATGTATTGATTGAGGATTGCATATGCATA